GAAAATCGGCAAGGAAATCAAATGAAATCAAGGTATCTTCAAAGAGGGTAGAAATTGAAAGGAAGCGTTTGGCGTTGGAGACTGAGGTCGCGAGGACTGAGCTAATGAGGGAAATGATAAAGCAGGAATTTGAAAATCAAATGAGGATTCTAGATCTTCAGAAAGAGTTAGCTGAAACTGGAATTGAAGAGAAAGAGTTATGCTCTACAGGAGATATCAGTTCGAGAAAATCGCTTGCAGAGAGCACAGATAAAGAAAGCATGTTCAGAGGAGAACAAGAATGGGTTGATAAGTGTGAAGTGCATTCTGTTACTTTTTCACCAGAAAAAACGAAAATTCAAAACACAAATATGTCACAGGATAGATGTTCACAGCGGTTTCTTTGGCGGAATGGCGAGCATCATAGGCAAATAGATGAATACGAGTTACAGGTGATGATGTTCGGTGCTTCTTGTTCTCTATGTTCCGCACAATATGTTAAAAATTCAAATGCTAAGCAATCGAAATATCCTGAATTGATTGAAGATGTCGAGAGAAATTTCTATGTTGATGACTATCTGGATTGTTGTGATACAGAGCGAGAAGCACTCTCAAAAATCGAAAGAATAATTGAACTCCATAAAAATGGTGGTTTCGATATTGTAAATTGGTCTTCAAATTCACCTTTGGTTATCTCAAAATACGGAAACGAACATGTCGAAAAATATTTCAATAAGTCATCGTTGGACCGCATTTTAGGAGTATGGTGGGATGTGAATCTGATTCGTTTACATTTAAAGTTGATTTATCATATGGTTCCCAAAGAAATAACTGACGGTACGGTGATTCCTACAAAACGCCAAGTTTTGCAGTTAGTTATGTCGATTTTTGATCCCTCAGGCTTTCTCACATTCTTGTCTAATAAGGGAAAAATTATTCTACAGGCAATCTGGCGAAGTGGCATCGGATGGGACGATGAAATTCCAAAAACAATCTTCCATAGATGGTTAGAATGGTTGAAACGGTGGGGAGTTCTTTTCACTTGTATGAAAATTCGTGCAATCCACTTGGAAATCGCACACTCCCTCACTGCTGATGGTACAATAATGGCTTTAAGGAGGATGATATCACGCCTTTATTCAGATAATGGCACAAATTTCAAGGAAGCGAATGAAGAACTTTCGAAATTGTACCGTGAACTGGATCACCAGGAGCTAACTCGAAGAATGACAGAGATGAAGATAGAATGGCACTTCATTCCACCTGGTAGTCCACATATAGGTGGATGCCGGGAAAGGTTAATAGGCTTGGTCAAAAAAATTTTGGGGGTTACTTTAAAGGAAGAATCTCCTGAGGATGAAATTTTATCAACATTGTTCGCGGAAGCTGAGTATGCAGTAAATAGTAGACCATTAACTCATGTTTCAGCCGATCCTTCTGATCCTCAGTGTTTAACGCCAAATCATCTACTGATTAGTTCGCCCTCAGAAAATCCATTTCCAACAAAATTCGAAGAACAAAACCTAAGAAAGCAGTGGAAGAAGTCTCAAAGGCTGGCAGAGATATTTTGGTCAATTTGTGTCAAGGAATATTTACCGACTTTATCGAAGTGTGCAAAATGGATCAAGGTTGATGAACCTGTTGCGGTTAGCGATGTAGTCGTTGTTACAGATGGCCACCTTTCGAGAAATACCTGGCCACTGGGTAGAACCACGGCAGTATTTCCAAGAAAGGACAATATTACGAGAGTAGTCGAGGTGAAAACATCTACAGGGGTCTTCAAACGTCCTGTAACCAAAATCTGTAGGGTGGATGTTGAATTTGGTGAAAATTCTTAAGAACTTTCACGGTGGGGAGAATGTTACAGATTATATATTTTGTTAATTTGTTTATCATTCAGTATATATTTTTTGTTCCATTTAGTTAGCTATGAATGAGATATGTTTATACAAAAGTTGTAGTTGTGGATTGTCAAAAAAGGTCAATAGACGTCAAAAAGTATAATTTGGTATTTTCTTGAAAAATAAAGTTTCTAAGGAAATAACAACAACTGTGGGAACTAACAATTGAAACATCGTGTGACTTGATTCAAATTATTGTTTAATTTTGATAGAATTTCATTTTTGTTCAACTTTCCATTGGTTGTATACAGTATCATCCCCAAATTATGGATTATATGGGAAACTTATTTATTATTGGTTTATCGACAAAATGTTATTCCTGATAAAAGTTTATGCATCCCCTAAAACTAAACATGCACCAAGCAGTCATACATTAACGGAGACCAACTGGAGGCTAGCCTCCTTTAACGCTATAATTTCTGCAACTAAAAGTACAAATCGGGACGTATGTCGCTGGTTGGATCGGCCTCGCAAAGCTTGTGTTTTTTAAAACGGTCGGAGGCTTGGCTACCTTGCAACATATGGCATTTATTATTTCGTGTTGATGGTTTATTCGTTATTCGTTCATGGGCGGTGCGTTTGAGGTTTGTTGATGCAGGACACAGTGTGGTACGTACTATGTAGTGAGCGATAGTGTTTTTTCGGGCATATTATGTATTTATATTAAAAATTAATGGTAAAGTAATGATAGTAATGAAAAAATAATCATAATTATTTTAACTTATTGCAATGAATAGCCTCAAGTTTTATGAGGAGGCTAAGCCTCCCTTGCCTCCTCTGACGAGCCGCCGCTGCCAGTCCTGCGTATCAGCTGGAGGAGTTGGTCTTCGACTTGTACTTCAAAACTACCTGGATATGGAACTTCCAGATCGTCCAGTTACTTTCTGTTAGGTTAGAAATGCTTAAAATTACTGCCTCCCACATTTTGGAATCTGATAAAACAAGCCTCACTGCTTAAGACCCGCCGCCACACACCTCAAATGTTAGCCGATGTTTTTCACTACTTTTCGCGAACTTTGCACACCTGGACCCATAATCTGATGAACGGAATCCAACTAATGCAGAGTGATTAGTTTGACAGGCAAAATATGGTGCCGCCCTTGTCGAACACGTTACAATTCTGTTTAAAAACCTATTTTTCCGTTAACCAGCTGTCGAACCCCTGCGAACGACAACTCTCAAAAGTTTAAAATTGTGCAAGCTAAGGACTAATAAGGGTTCACCTTAACGTGTAATTCCTAGCACGGGTTGGACAACAGGAAGTGATCGTTCAGCCTTGCGGTTCGATCCACCGGTTCACACAGCGGTCGATTGAGGGAGTGGAGCAAACCACCGACAGCAATCCAACCGGCTACCGTCCCACCAATTCCTGAACGACAAACGACTACTGACATTTACAAACAATATAGGTGTAGAATAATGACATCATATTACAAACTTCAAAATATGATATTCTTTCTTCAACCAAAGCTAGATAAAACAATCTTATTGTGTGTCTAACTACAACAAATGTAGTTCCTCATAGTGATTGTCCGATTCCGATAACGAATAATAAGATCGGCTACTAATGTTTCGTATCCGTTTTCCGATCTAATTGAGAATATTCAGATAATTGTGATTATACACTCTACAACGCACGAAAATTAAGACTTATTGTAATTAACCCTGGCTTTGGTATACGTAGCGTTCTCTAGCGAGCAGCGAAAGTACTATATATTTGATCATTGAGAGCAAGGCTTAAATATAATTTAATAATTCAGTCAGTTACACTAGTTTTGCTTCCAAGAAAATATTAAATCTTATGTTTTCAGTGAAAATGAACTCAAAAAAGAAATATTGAAGTACTTCGATTTCCTTCATGAAAACGAAAAATCTCTTTTAGAACCCGTATACCTATTAACTATATTTGAGCTGGAGTTTGAGGGTGAAAAAATTGCTTCCGGAAGAATGGAGTTTGGAAATGACTTGTGTGACGTATTCGCAGAACCTATCAAGCAAGTGAAGAGGGGTGAGATAAAAAACGACATCGAGACACGTAACATCGCTAACAAGATAGGGCTTGCCATGAGTTCTTCGAGGAGATCAGATAGGAGGAGGAGAAAATCTAATAGTTCTCTAGAAAGCGCTTACAGATTACCAGTGACAGGAAAAAGATGCTTGAATAGAAAGCCAAGGACGCGAGGTGCGTAGTTAAGTCAGGATAAAACAGAACATTTAATCAGGACGGAGTAACTTGAAGAGCTGGGTAACGTCAGGCCTAGGGTGAATCTAAATGCCCATTCACACAGAACCGACATCGAGCAGAGTGTAGGCGCGGACGTGGCTTGGATCGTTGTCTCTTCCGTGTCTTATGTACACAAATGGACATAGAAGCAGCGTGGCATCTCATCTCCGCCCGACGTCGGCACTAACAAATCGACTGACAAGTCCAAGACACGGCACAGAATATTGGGCATGTGTGACGTCATCCGGCACGCTAAGCGAGCTGGCTCTGTAAATCGAACGGAAAATGATAATACCTATAGATAAATAAAAGTCATATTACGTTTATTATGCATACGAGAGCATTTGAAAGTAGTATATATCGTCATCGTCCGACAGGAGAGACAGTTTTGAATTAGAGCACAGATTAATTCGACGAAAATAGTGCGATAATTTGAAAGTGTGATTGAAGTATAGTGTTAAATTCAAATTTATGTTATTGAATAAAGTTCAATAAACCTAAATAAATGTATCACTCATTCATTTTTCGAGAAACAACGCATAGTCGGAGCACTAGTAACAAACTTTAGTAATGATAAACTATGCTTCATTATTCTCTGTTTATAATAAACTTTTCTCTTAGTTCTGGCACATAGAATGATCATGAAAAAAATAAATCTGCGAATTTTGTATATCCTCTTTTTTTTCATAATTTTATTATACTAATCCATAATCGTTTTTTTCGATGTTTCGAATGACTGTATCATAGACGTGAGAATGTTCTCAAGTCTATGGATTGGACTGATATATTCCTAAATTCCATTCTGGGATTTCTAGGATTTTGGTAAATTAACAGTTCTTTGGCAACGTTGCTTTGACAGCAAGGTTTATTTCTCACTCCGCATCCGCACGGCATTCTGCGATATAACCATTGTCGGGTAAGCTTGAATCGCAATCGAAAATTGGAGTTGAGAGTGGCGTCGTATCTCCTGAAGGTTACCGGTACCGTGTTTTCGTAGTGTCCCGATTTTAGTAATCGATATTCCTCATATCTATCCAACTTTCAATTTGGCTCTAAAAATTTTACTATTTATAAACTTACTGTGTGAAAACCTCACTGAAAAGTCGGTGCTTAGGGCTTCAGTAGGAGTTCATATTTCTTGCTAGAGGTGAGTTAAAATTCTACTGACAATCTTGAATTCTCTGAATGCAATTTAACACCACTAGGATCTAATTTGGCATGTCCAGAATTCTCGAAGTGGTGGAACAATTTTATAGCAGATTTTTCTAAAAATACTTACAACCTAGTTTTCATCATAGTACTGGATAATTTCAGACTTATATTTCTTGAATTTCAGGAACGTGAGATTCGATTTCACCGGAATTGCGCCACTTTAGAAAATCAATAACTAGGGTAGAGTCAAGTCCGCATTAATCCTTGTTTCTATTTGCCGACAGTCGTCAATTGTTCCCCTTTATGAAAATTTATTTGAAAAGTAAAAGTCGGGACGAATAGGTAGGCAGTATGTCACCGTACTATGATCCTAGTTTAAGGACAATAACGGTGGAACTGTACTAATCTATACAACATACAGGTCCACTATGGATAGCGATTATCAGTTACTCTCCATCATTAACGTTTTTCGACAAGGCGACCTTCAAATTATTTCCTAATAAAGGAGAAATTCAGAACACGTAGTTTCATTCGTTTTTTTTTAAATCTCGGTCTGGCACATATTCAACTGAATACAGGTACTGGTAATGACATTGACCGGCCTAAACAGGTGTGAAACCGACTTGAAATCATTCTAACAAGAATGTTTCTGATGCGTTATCGCAGGCGCCAGTGATTAAGGTTCCGGTTCCTGTCCAATATACCTACTATTCGCGAAGTGTCTTAGTGACCGAATTATACTATTACATTGGAACTTTATATCAACCGTTTGAAAACCTTCCATATTTTTGTATTTTTCAATTCGAACTCGGAATATTCAGTTTGTCAATTTGAAAACGTACCACCCTTTATATTTCGGTCCCAATAGAAAATCTAAAAATGTGCAAAAATTGGTCAAACTTACTTTCAAGTGAGATATTTTGTATGCTAGTTTTCCAATTTAATCGAAATTAGCGCTATTTGAATAAATGCACCTTCGCCAACTTAACACAAATTGATTAATTACGTCAGTATGAAAATTGTGTGCTCGGGATTCGGTTAAGTCGACGAAGACCGTTTTTTCCTGGTCCTGATTGGCGAAGGTTTTACCAGTGAGAACATTATCGAAGTGCTTGAGAAGATGGTAGTCGGTTGGCGAGAGGTCTAGGGAGTACGTTGGGGGAAACAGAACTTCGACCTTCAATTCGTTTGGATGATGATTTGTGAAACGTGCAGACGGGCGTTGTCGTGGAGCAGGATGGGATATTTGCTGATGACCAGTGCCGGCTGCTGCCTACGCAATTTTCGGTACATTTTATCGATTTCCTCACAATAGGACTCTGCTGTGATGTTTTGTCTCGGTTGCAAAAATTCATAGTGAATTGCACCAGCCGCTGGTGGTGGTTTTTCGTCTTTGGGAAGTGTCTAGGTGGCTCATCGGTGTCAAACCACTGTACTGAACGTGCAACCGCATAGAAGAACAGACCTCGAAACGTGACACTTTTTGTCGATCGTGCAAATTGTGGGACACCCACTTTTCGAGCTGTTTGACCGTTCCAATACGTTTTAAAGTTTTGAACCATTAAAAATCGTATGGGAGTGGACGCCAAGTTCTTCCGCCACCTCACGCACCTTTTGTGATGGGCCAGTCTTTATCAGGGTCCTCAAATCCTCATCCTGGAGTACAGTAGGTTAACTAATTCGGGGCTCATCTTCGAGGCTAAAATCTCCGGAATTAAATTTCGCAAACCAACGTCGAACATCAATACCAATATTGCCAAACGCCTGGTTGATTTATCGGGCTGTTTCGGCAGCGCTTTGTTTCATTAAATTTTGGTAAAAAATGAACAACATTGATGTATGAAATTCTCTATCGATCAGTATGTACCATGACACAGAATGACAATTTATTGAGATATGGAGCTACAAAAACACATGACATTGAAACGGACAAAACTGTCGAAACAACCTAATAATACCTCAGGCAGTTCAGGTACTTTTTCAAAAATGTCGAATACTTAAACCTTTTTTATAGCAATTTATGAGAAATCTGCTGAAAACTGAACAAGTTTAAGTTTCAACAACAAAATAATAAAGAAGCATAGTAGGTATTCCGTTGAAAATTATTATTAGAAAGAATGTAATTTACCGAAACTAGTATTTTTATGGTACCTAGTCACGAATGACAAGTTAGTGAGAGTTTTCAAAAAATATAGTCATAAACGCTACAAGGGGCAGCCGAGGATTATAACAACCGAATCCGTTATTTGCGTATCGGTCGTGTGTCGTTCAAGACTTTCCGTAATCCCGTTGAAAGAATACATTTTGATTCCGAGGAAAAAACAAACCACTCCTCGTAATTCTACAGAAAAATCCCAACATCGTGTTGGCATGGAACAACTTAACAATATCACAACAATATTATAAACAACGTCAGTTTTTTGTGTTCGTGAGTTCGCTTCAACGACCATGGATGAAATTGAGGAATAAAATCAAATTTCTTTAGAAATATCGGGAGAATCATGTGCGAGTGTTGGTTTCTGCTGATATCGGGAGCGATATCAAAAAAATACGAAAATTTTGAAACGGCCGCCGGCCGTTAAGATTTCTCAACGTACGGAATTTTTCTTTTTTGTAATTCAATGTTAATATGATACTAGCTGTTTCAGGAGGGCTTTTACTTCCAGTTTGTGTCTGAAAGTTACTTATTTGCATGATCTAGTTTCTGCTGATATCGGGAGCGATATCAAAAAAATACGAAAATTTTGAAACGGCCGCCGGCCGTTAAGATTTCTCAACGTACGGAATTTTTCTTTCGTGTAATTCAATGTTAATATGAGACTAGATGTTTCAGGAGGGCTAATTCTTCCAGTTTGTGTCTGAAAGTTACTTCTTTGCATGATCTTCACAAGATGGAGTAGTAGAAAGCCAAAAACGTTCTTTCCCAAATAATTAATCACCCTAAAAAACATAACCCTTTCAATTTAAAAAAAATTAAATGTTACTACGCTGGAGATGGAGTAGTAGAAAGCCAAAGACTTTCTTTCCCAAATAATTAATCACCCTAAAAAACATAGCCCTTTCAATTTAAAAAAAATTAAATGTTACTACGCCCATGGGTTCTTGTGATACTTTTCAATAATTAGATTGTTTTACTCCTCTAGTGTGACTGGGCATCGTACAAAGTGGATAAAACATTGATCCGCATTCATTACTCCTTCTAATAGTCACCAATTCTATAGTAGTATATACAGCACCTA